ATCATCAAAACAGTAACTCAGGAGACCTCATGGGAGGACTTTCTTTCCTCCTTCCTCACATTAGAAATCAGAGACTATGCTGAAAGCTATTATAAATATCTCTATCACCACTAACCTGGCTTAGCTAAAAGAGATACTATTTTTGCAACAAGTTTTTGATAGAATCATAGAATAGTTAGGGTTGGAAAGGACCTTAAGATCATCTAGTCACATTTATCATGTTATCTCTACTCTGACTCTCAAAGCAGCCTTCACCCTGACACATACAAAACCAGTCTCCTAGAAGCTTTTGGCTTAAGCTCAGCAGTTGGATACAACTGGGCAAAATAAATATAAATGTTCAGCTACGGCTTACATTTATTTACATTGACTGATCACTGAAAACTGTGAATTTTACACTCCACAGGGCAGAAAAACAACTACAAGAAAAGCAACTGAGAGCAAGGGAGTTTCCCTACACAGAGACAGGATCTAATCATCCTGCTGCATAGAACAAGAGTCACTGCATCAGTGGTGATAAACTAGGACACATATGATATGATGCGCCCACTTTTTCCAAAAGCTTCCCATCAGGTTTTCTTATCCACACTCTTCAAACAAGTAATTTTTTTTTTTCTTGTACAGATATGGCTACATAAGGAGAACATGTTGGAGTTTGCACTTTATACCTTTCTATATGTGTCAAATCTGAATATTTGACCTGCCACTGTGAAAACAAGAAAAATCAGAATTCTAAACCATATCTTTAATCTGCAACATCATTCAGGTTTTCACACAATCATTGTGGTTGGAAAGGACCTCTGGAGTTCATCTAATCCAACCCCCCTTCCAAGGCAGGGCCACCTAGAGCAGGTTACACAGGAACACATCCTGGTGGGTTTTGAATGTTGTCAGAGAGGGAGACTCTACAACCCCCTGGGCTGCCTGTTCCAGTGTTCTGCCACCCTCAATGTAAAGAGGTTCTTCATTGTGTCGAGGTGAAACTTTTACTTCATTTTAACTCATCCTGCATATCCCCAAACTCAGTTCATTACATCTGCTTCCTTCATATGGACTTACATGCATTTATCAGGAGGAAAATTGGGAAAAGGGGTTGTAACCTCTCCACTAACACTGCCTGGTTCACTTCTTGAGATCTCAGCTGCAGAGCTGCCTCTTACTTCCACCCTCCTCTGCGTGCCCAGGTGAAGTCTGCAGCCACCATTTTTACACCTCACTCCTAATGTACACAAATACTTAAAGCCCACCTGATCTTCTGGTATCCCACAGTCTACCTGTGAAATGGTAGGAACAAAAATTCCCCAGATATGTCATAGAGATATAAGGATAAAATAAAATTCTGTGACTTCATTAAGATTTTCAATACTGATCTTGAAAAGAAAATAACATTTGAAGTACAGATCTGTTAAAACTCCAATGAAATTAGCAGAGAAATGAATAGGATTCCTTGTCCTTTACATCTTTGAAAATGTAAAGTGCTATTTATATGATAATCATGAAATGATACTTTCAGATAAAGTTGCAATTATTTTTTAAAAGGGAAAGGGGGGGGAGAAGGGAGAGAGAGCTGAATTCATCCCAGGTGAAGTAAGATAGATAAGGCCCAACTGGCAATTATCTATGGCCTTGTTGCAAAGACTAGGGAGCTTTCTCAAATGGAAAGTATAATTGTGAAAGCTTTTGCCAAAAGAATATAGCTGAGATCCCTGCCTTAGTTGTGAAAGACAGTTTCTACCTGCATTTAAAGCACTCCAACATGTTCAAAGATTAAACAGGCACATCCTTACATCCTTATAAAACAAATTTTGAATTGGCTCCACATTACTTAATAAACTTGCACATTGTTTAGAGTCTAAATGCAACACATTTAACCCATTATTCACCATGGACAAATGAAAACTTTTTTTGCTGAGAACTTTCCAAAAATCTGTGTGTGAGCTGTTTCCTGGGATATCTCATCTATTTGTCCACCTCTATCATTCATCCCTGGGCCTACATTTTTGATTACATGTTTTTTGAGAGACTACTTGTTCAGTGTTTGTACACTCTGTACCACATTAAGTTTTGAGAGACTATTTTAATGCAAGCAAGTTGTGATAATAAACAATTCACCCTTCCACTTACTAAAATACAGCAGCAACATGTTTAATGCTTAGAAAATGAAGATAGATTATAGCTCTTCAATAGCTGATGGTACTTTCAAGCACAAGTTTAGCACCATAAAGAACTACACCTGAGTCAAAGTGTGGAAACATGCATGCATTTCATGTCACATGATGTAAGTCTTTGGCTGTTACCTATACAGAGATTTAAGAAAAATAAATAAATAAAATTTGTCCTAGAATCCTAGAATGGTTTGGATTGGAAGCGACCTTAAAGACCATCCAGTTCCAACCCCTCTGCCATGGGCAGGGACACCTTCCGATAGACCATGCTGCTCAAAGCCCCATCCAACCTGGCCTTAAACACTGCTAGGATTGGAGCAGCAACAGATTCTCTGGGCAACCTGTTCCAGTGTCTCAAACAGATGTTACAGAACATGATATAAGATTGGAGAATATTTCCACGCTATTTGTTATCATTGCTTTCTACTCTCACTTTTGTCCTTCAAACTGTTCTGTCCAGCCATGCTGGCAGAAAGCTGAGCCTTGCAGTCTTGGGCAGGGAAACTGGAAAAATCCCACTTACTTAATATTGTATATGCCCACTTGCTTTCTGTACAGTTGCCAGAAAATTAAGGGATAAGAGCTTGACACTGCTCAGGCTTTGCCATCAACCTCATTTAATAATTCATACATAAATAATTTCCAAAATAACTACCAGAATTATTGAAAACAGAGTATTTTGGGGGGTTCTTAATAAATAACATCCCAAGTCATACACAGCCTTGAGCTTTTATTGCTTTGAAGCAGGCTTTTCATTAAAAATATTATTTTTTCAGGACCAATTGCAGCACCACTTTATTTCAAATCCTCAGAGATTACAAAGGAAAACTTAATTTTCCATGGTGCTGCCTTGATAGGCATTGACATTTATCAGCTATTGCAATAGTGGATTTCAAAAGACAGATGGACATGAACAAAAAAAGTGCTGTTTCTGACACTGTCAGGCCACTCTCCAGTGGCAGACAGTGATTTGGGTGATCTTGCAAGAAGAACCACCCATTAGCTTCTAGCAAAGCTGGAGCTGAGCAAGTGGAGCTGTGACTTGCTTTGGTAGACTAAGATGCAGCAGGAGTGGTTGGGAAATCATAGAATACCAGGTTGGAAGGGACCTCAAGGATAACGTGGTCCAATCCTTCTGAGCAAAACATGACCTAGACTGGATGTCCCAGCACCCTGTCCAGCCAGATTATAAGTGTCCAGTGTTGGGAAAGAGCTTTTCAAAAGCAGCTCCCTGGTTGTACACATGCACCCTGATCCATGCCTCTAGTGAGGGGGAAGGTAGAAAGCAGTTGATATAAACCAGCATGGTCAGAGTTCAGTAGCCAAGGGGCTAGTTTGGGATTCTCTGCTGGTTGTTCCTACCTTGCTTTTCAGCAGAACCAAACCCAAATTTCTGTGCCTGACTCAAGTAACTACCAGAAGTTGTCTGATTGCCTTTAGGCTTCACTCAGCTCCCCATATGGATAGACTGAAAAACAAGAGTTGCTGAACAGAAGCACCCTGAAAGCTGAGTCGGGACCTCAGGTCTGTCAATGGGCCTTTTTATTCCTCCCACTCATGGGACAAGAGGAGGACAAAGAGGAATTGGTGGGGGGGAAGGTGGAAGGGAGAGCAGAAATGCAGCTCATAAGTATGCCTTGAGTCATCAAGCCGTTTCTTTGCTTGCATTTGAACCTATTGTAAACTTGTATTTGCAGCCTTTTATATTTAATGAGCCACAGCTACAGTGCTGGATCCAAACCATTTACGTGACACCAGTACCACTAAACTCATCAGCATGGGAGAAAAAGGCATCAACACGAGTTACACATAGATGAAAAGCTTTTTTGCAGAAGTTATCCGGTCAAGAACAATGCAGTGCGGTCCAGAGCATTGTATTAAGTGATTTCCTACGCAAACCTTGCGTAGTTATTTTTATATCACTTTCCTGTGAGCTTCTCAAAGTTTAAAGCTATCCTTAATTTAATGCAGTGATGAAAATGAAAGTTATCAGTAGTAGCTTCCTTCAAATTTAACAATGGATCATTGATTAGTAATACCACTTCTCTGAGTGACAGATGATCATGGCATTGAATGCGGCATGAATTTACTCCTGACAGCTCATGAGCTCATGGTGTATATCGATATTATCAAATACTTTCAGCAGTCACTACAGCAATTTGCTCACTTTTATATAGATCACTCTTAGGTTTAAGACACGTTCTTAAATAAAAAAAGGAAATAATTTGAAGCTAAAACCCAAGGAAGGCATGACAATACCTTGTAATGACGGATGCAATGTTTTATCACGGCAGCGATTAAGCAGCTTAGGGAGGGAGCATGGTACAAGTAATGTTGGAGGGTACAGGCTGGTAGGGCTGGATGTGGTAACTTTGATGGGCAGCGGCAGCACACCTTTCCTCCCCCTTTTTTTTCATTTATCCCTTACAACTGCAGAGAAGGCAGCAGACATGACCCCATACGGCCTAATGCACATTCGCCTCTACTTTTTTCCCCATCTGCCTGTAGTCGCAACGCCACAAACGCTTGCTCCTACGAATTTCAGTCATGCGTGAGGCCGCGGCGAGGGCAGCGCAGGGCCTGCTGGCCGCGGATCTGAGCTGAACGGGGAAGCCGAGCAGGTCTGGCGGCTCCCAACGGGCGGAGGTGCCGATCCATAGAGTGGCCACCGAGCCGAGGGGCGACTGTGCTGCAGGCCGGCGCTGCGGGCGGAGGACCCCTCGCTGCCCGCTCCTGGGGATCCCCTCCTTCTTGCTCCCGGCCCCGGCACGACCCGTCACGCGGGGCGTGTCCCGGGCAGCCCCGCTCCGCCCCAGCCCGGCGGAGCGGCGGGTGCCGCGGCAACGGCCGGGGCAGGGCAGGGCCGGGCCGGGAGCCACGGAGCGGCGGGCAGCGCCATGGGGCTAGAGACGGAGAAGGTGGACACCCGCATCTTCATGGACGACGACAACTTCCCGCGCAGCGGCGGCCCCGCGCTGTCGGAGGCGGAGAAGGGCGCGGAGGACGAGCTGGACCGCGACCCCCATGGGATGAACGCCCACCTCCAGGTGCGCGGGCGCGGGGACCCAGCCCGGGGCGGCGGGGCGGGACGGGCCGGGCCGCGACGGGCCGGGGCGGTGGGCGGAGTGCCCCCAGTCTCCCCTAGTGCCAGCTCCGCGTAACGGCCTGGCTGCTGTCGTTCCAGCTGGGCTTCGAGGACGTGATCGCGGAGCCAGAGCTAACGCACTCCTTCGACAAAGTCTGGATCTGCAGCCACGCTCTCTTTGAGCTCAGCAAGTACGTGATCTACAAGCTCCTGACCCTGGTCCTTGCCATACCCCTGGCCCTGGTTGTGGGGATCGTCTTTGCGGCGCTCAGCTGCCTGCACATCTGGTAAGTGCGTTCTGTTGCCCGTGGTGGGTGGGCTCTGCAGACGGCCCAGCAGCACTACTCCTAGCTGTTGATCACCGCCTTTACAGCCAGTAGTCAGATCTGCTTACGTTGTCTGCTTTGGTTTTAAAGGGAGAGAAATGACAACAGTGTTTTCACTGTGATTCAGTTCCCTGCTGTGCTTTTGGTCTGCCATGTCTGTGGAAGCTCCTTCGAGCAGAGAGCCTTCTTTACTTCGAATAGCATCTACACAATGCATTCCAGACTCAGCTGGCTTCTGGACTAGTAATAACGATTGCTTGTTCTTTTAAAACTGGAGTACAGAAGTTGTTAAAACGTGTTTATTTGAAATGAAAGTCTTGGGCAGAAGCGTTACTGCCACCTTCTCAGTATGGTTACCTCTTCCATTTTTTCCTCACAGACTAAAGTAAGCTTTTGAGAGCCCAACTCACTCTTTCTTTGCTGTTACCACAAAATCTACTGTCACTGCCTTGCATCTAATACATGGCCATCTCTAGGTGCAGTGCCCCAAAGCACTTCCACATAAGCAAAGCCCTGCTAAGCACAGGAAAGCGGCCATTGCCCAGCTTCACAGGCAAATATACTGGTACTCCAAGTCACAAAAAACCTTATATGTTTGAAACAGAATATACTGGCAAAATATTAGGGAAGAATACCTGGAGACAAGAAAGGCAGATGATCATGGAAAAGGAAGAAAGGCAGGGAAAATAATGATGTTAAGGAAACCTCTCTATGGCTGCAGAGGAAGGGATGAATGCATATTATCAAAGCCATTCCTGCAAACCAGGATTTTCCATATACATGGGTTTTGGCCAAAGTCTCATTTGACTTGGAATCATCAAGAAATTTTTAAGGAAAACAAAATACAATCCAGAAACTAGGAAAAAAATCTCAAGTCAATAGGAATACATTGGTTATCTGAGCCCTTGGTTGCAATCTCAAAGGTGCAGATTTCTGTTTTCAAAAGTGGAATGGAAGTTCGGGTTGATGACATTGCCATGAGCCACTTCAAAACCCAATTAACTCAAATTTAGAAACATTGAGTCGGCATCTCACCCAGAAGAGTTGCAATGAAGTTTAGAGCTGCTTACATGCTGCTTCTCTGGTCCCTAAATTATGAACACTGTATAGCATGCCTAGACTTTCAAGTCTGGAGCTGTCACTGCGCTGTGAGTACTGTGTGACTGCAAAAAGGTACGATGACCATATCGACTTCCAGTAGTGAGATATCTGTGGAAGAATTAATCAATGCCAGATTTATTAAGACTGTAAGAAGTTTTTGTGCTTCAGTATGATCTGGTATATGGATTTTACAGTGTGGATGTGTGGACATGAGTTTCACTGAGCCAGGACTCTGGGGTCAGTTTCTATTTATGCAAGTTGTCCCTAGTGACTCTCTCAAGAACAGTGGGTTCTCAGTATATCTGAAATAGGACTGTCCGCATGTGGCACTTCATTTGAAAAGTTTCCTTTGACTTTCTGTGAACACACTTGCTTCCCCAGCAACTACTTTTCTTTCCCTATGTTCACTGTCACTACAGATCTTTCATTTTGATCTTCCTTATGCCTGGGATGAGTGTGAAAGCATCACATAAATTGGTAGCATTACCTGCCCCCCTTGGAGCTCATCCAGGGCTACCATCCAGAGCCAGCACTGCCTCATTTTCCCACAACCACAAATCGGATTTGTTCCAACACAAAGGTGGAAAACACTGAGACTAAGTCATCTTCTCTGCAGCTTTCCATGTTCCAGACTTCTTGGTGTAAGGAGTTCAAAGTTTCTGCATTTGAGAGGGTAGCATATGAGCAGTGCAGGTGTAGAGACCCAAAACACATGGTACTGGCTCCCATGTAGCCCCACTGGGTCTGAAAAAAATAGTAACTCCTTGTTTTGTGGGTGAGAGGAAGGGATTTCCATTATAACTCTTGTCTTCATCTGTTGAAATGTCATGGGAAAACCCTGGGCACACCCTCCCACATGGCTGCCTGTAGGAGGTCTCATCAGAGTCACCGTGCCTCATTTTCAGCATCCAAACCAATGAGATGATGATGTTATCTATCTTAGTTAGGGGAGCCTTTCCTGAGGCTAAATTCAAACATGTTGCAGCAACTTTTGGAACTGCTCAGGCACAAAGCCCTGTTGATTGTCACACATGTCATTGCGGTTTTGTCAGGATGCTAAAAATCCATTCCTCATGCATCAAGGGCACCTCATGAATTGCCCCTCTCAGACCTGATAGTAAATGTTGCCTTCCACCAGCAAAAAGGTGGCTGAAGAAGGAAGCAAATGTGTGAGACTTTACGGAAAGCAGAAAGAAAGCTGAGTGAGAAATATGTAATAATTCACTTTAACTTACATTTTTATCTATAAAGATGGGACATATCCTTTTCCTGTTCTCAAACTGTCTGCTTGAGACAGAATCGAGCATTGTACTAGCTGATAAAAGATAATGATGGGCTGAAACTGTGCCAGCTAGCAAGTTGGTGACCTATATACAAGCCTGTTCAAGGAAGGGTACTTCTCCACCTTTCTTCTCCTTTACTGATGACTGTCATTCTCACCACAGACTATAAATGGCAGAATTTGTCACACTGAGTTTTAACATCTTTCTGTGAATATTAGCAAGCTTTTAAAGATTTCCTTAGGTTGAGGCTGTTACTGATTTTTGATCATGAGCAGAACACTAGTGGTTTTTCAGGCAACACATGCAAACTCATTATATTTATTATAGATCAGAGACTTATCCTTGATGTTCCAAGCCACATGTTTGCCACCTCTTGGAAATTAACACTTGAATATCATATATGCTTTTTTGTAGTCCTGTCTGAATAGTCTTCTGGTATGTTGCATATGTGTGCTAAGAATGGTTCATTTGTGGATCCTTAACTCAAGTCTTGGATCTGAGATGGGGTCTAAAGCACAAGGAGTCGAGCAGGATTATGCTCTTGTCATCAGCTGGAGCAGCAGGTGCTCGGAGCTCCTGTTGGCTTTAGCTTCCATTCCCAGCGCTCAGATGCAGCCAGGGACTTACATGCAAAGTAAATATGGACTTGTATCATCCCTCACTTCTTTCTCCACAACTCTGTTTATATAACCTATTGTTATCATACTCAACCCCAAAACCATCTCCCTGATGGCTGTCTGAAATCAAAAGAAATGACAGTATAGCTATGCCATGAAGACCCACCCTATGATCTGGTGTTGCCTTGAAGCCTCTTCTTTCATGTCCGGTATATATCCCTTGGAGATTAGCAGCAAAAAAGTAATGTGAGCAAAAGTGAAAAAGGTTGATGGGTATAATTTTGTAGATGTCATGTCTTGAACAGAAAGAAAATAGGATAGATGGAAAAACTGGGGTAATTTGCACTTTTCAGTTCAACAGTTCCCAAAAGAAGGGATTCCTTCTCCTCAGTGAAAGGATGGGTATTTTATGATATTTATACATAGCAAGATTCAATGAGAGGTCATATAGCTAGTTGAAATATCTTGTCTGTGCTTCAGCTTAGATGCCATATTCAACAGAGCTTTGATTTTCTTCCCGATGCTGCATTGTGTGATGACATTACTAGTGTAAATATTGCAGTCAGTGTTGATATCCTTGGGATATGCCAACTTCCACTGTTAGACATCACTTAAGCAAGCTGTTACTATCTCTGTGAATACAAGTGCAGATTGGGGTAAACTCACAGCATTCTGAGTAAAGAATGTATATGTTAATGTTTACTTGACAGGTCACAAAACAATACATAGCTTTTAGTGGTCCTTGGTTATTTATGTTTCTAAGTGTGCCTGGTCATTCCACAGAAGGCACATCGTACCCTGATGATGTGGAAATGCAGAACGAACAGGATGCATACATATACACATGTAGATACCTATATAGCCACACTCACATGTTTTAAAAGTTAGAAAATGCCTTTTACTGCTCTCTATGTGTAAAGGGTTTCCTTCTCTGAGGAAAGGTGTTTGAGTAATTGTTATTTAGTTAGACTGACTTTTATTTTAACGTTGAAAGTTGTTTACATTAATTAGCTTTGTTTGCTAGCATGTCTCACATGTCCTCCTACCGAGCTAGTGTACATTGGTTTTCATATGCATTTACCATAAAATTGGCAATGTTTATAAAACATTACCAAAACATTTTATATTTATTGTATTTAACATTATCAAAAGATATTGAGTTCTGGTACTGTCTGAGTGATCTCTACAGCAGTTGTGGGTGGTATGATCACTGCTTTTCCAGCCCTTCCTAATGGCATCCTGGTGATTCACTGCATCTTTCTGTGAAACTTCTGCATACTGTGGTATTTGTTTAGTTTGTATTTCGTGTGATCCTGTCAACATAAGGTCCACCAGAAATGTCAGCTTTTCTGCTCCTCTCTAGATCAGTTGGATTTAAAAAAAATGAAAGCCAAATTTATTTTAGATGGCAGGAAAGGAGCAGTGACATAGCCTTTCTAAACTAACCAAAATGGAAAAGGGATGAAGTCAACACAAGCTGAGTAGTCATTTCTGGTGTTTTCCCTGTGTTGCTTGGAGAAATATCTTTTTTTATTCTAACAGCTGAAGCCCTACTTTTATTCTCTAGAAATTATCTATTCTATATGCAGTGATACTATAGGTAGGTTGTAAAGTGCATAATTTACAGGGGTCAGTTTAAAACTAGGGACACATTATTCCAGCAGCACTCACAGTTCTATATAGTGTGTCTTTTACTAGCTGTTTCAGCAGAGACAAAAGAACAGAAGGTTTTAGAAAAACTATTCTTGTTTAAATCTGTCTGGGCTAGTTTAGAGTGCAACATAGACACACTAGTATATGGCTTGCATTGTATGATAAAAGCTGAGAATCTGGTTAAATAAACGCTGAAAATAAATAGTTTATTTTAAATTTTACATTTCTAAGCTCCAACTTTTTAAAAATGTGTCAGTTTGGCTTTGGTTTATTGTTTGTTTGTTGGGTTTTTACTTTGTTATTCTGAGCAGTACTCATTGGAAATACACAATACCTGTATATTTTTTCCATACCTATGATGAAATAGTAAATTAAATATTTCCTGTCATCCAACCAAAGTCAGTGAGAGTTCTACAATGGGCTTATGTGGATGCAAGACTTGAATCTTAAATTTGGAATGCAACAGCAAACTATAACAGAGTTTATTCTTTATCAAGAGAATCTATAGTTTCTTCTACCTAATTTAGGAAATAAATGTGTTATATATGGCACAGATTTTTCTTTTTTTAAACCTTGCTCTACTACCACTTCGGTATTACATAAGTTATTTACGCATTTAATGTATCTGCGCCTAAGTAAGAACATCCAGCTTTGTAAAATGACAGACGGTTTTGGCCAGTAAATGATTAAGAAAGGAGAGTAACTTAAAATAGCGTCATAAGTTATCATGTATCCATAAGTTACCATGTATTCACTGGCCCTTCTCAGCCGCCCATATGTGCACTTCTGCCTTGCCTCTGTTGTTGGTATGCTTGGCTTAACCTACCACTGATGACTTTACTTTGGAATTGGGACATATGGAGAGCACTCCCCGGTTGCTTACCAGTGTTAGGAGATGAAGGCACAATACTTTCAAATATGCACCCTGAGCAAATAAAAAGGTCTTTCCCTGTCCAGGAGTTTTGACCTCACTCTAGGTTAGTTTCTTACCCACAAATGAAAATCTTTACAGGATCCTCAAGGATTCCATTTTTCTGAGGTTTGGCATATCTCTGTACTACAGCAGTCCAATGTAACCAGATATTGCTTTACTGTTCCTGTTTTATTGTAGCAAGTTGTTAACAGCCAAGTTAGGCTGTAGGAATGAGATGAGAATGGTGATGTGCCTATGCATTTGGGTGGGTGAAAGAGGTGAATACAAGAAACACCAGAAGAGAGAGCAGAGCAAGAACAGATTGTAAAGAGCACTGTTCCCAGTCAATCAAACTGGAGAGAACATGGTGTTTCTGCCAAGCCCAAAGACCCACATTCAGATACAACCACGGGGCAAATGAATCCCTAGGGGATGACTCTGCTCTTCAGACACAGCAGGATGGCAGCAAGGTTGCCACATATCACATACACCAGCCCTTCCAGCATCAGGGAGAGGATAGCAAAAGTTCACCTCAGTAACAGGCATGTCCACAAATTAGCTTAGCATTGCCAATTAGGAAGCAGAGACATGATGACAAGAAAGCTGGCTTCTCCTGTCCCTTGGGTTGCACACAAGTGATCCTGCCTAGAGGACCGCATGCATCACGGTGCTTCTGCATGTGCAGGTGTAAGGCTGTGAGTAAGCGAAATTGATGGAGAATGAGTGCAAGAGTGTAAAGCCAACTTGTTTAGAGATTTAGAGTTAGAAAATCACTTCTTCCATGTGTTCTCATACTTGTGCTTGGTTATTCTGATTTCTCCATGCTGTAACAGAAACAATCATTAAATCTTCCATTTTCTCTTTTACAGGATTGTGGTGCCTTTCGTGAAAACGTGTCTCATGCTCTTGCCTTCAATGCAAACCATATGGAAGAGCCTGACAGATGTTTTCATCAGACCATTCTTTCAAAGTTTAGGCCGATGCTTTGCCATGGTTAATATACGCCTGGACCAAGAGTAAACATCAGGGGTGCAACAGCGCTGTAATTGTAGCTGGTTTTATACCTCTTTGCTAACCTAACATACAAGCACTTACCATTCATTCCAAACTGATAAATTATAATGGCTGGTTTAAGCGGGAACATGCTATTTTTCCTAAAACTCATTTATTATCAGGGAGATCAGTTTAAGAATAAGTAGGCAGTTTTCATAACTCACTATTTTAACAACAGAGCAATCATGGAGTATGTTGGCAACACTTTATTTTAATGGTACGTTAGTTGCTAGATGACAGGAGAATTCTTGTGAAGGTTTAACAGCCACCACAGTGATAATGATTTGCATTATTACTATAAAAACTTCATTGAGTAGGCTGTGGTACCTTAGGCAGAAGTGATCTCTGAGGGTTCACACTGACTTCAGTGCAGTTCTGCCACTCACTGTGCAGAATGATAAACCCAGTCCTTTATTGTCAGCAGTTAAAATGATCATGATTCATTGCATAAACATACAGGAAGAGGAACTGTTGTATAATTCTCCTATACCAGAGGGAAGAGCTCCCTAGAAGTTTATCCTTTAAAATAAGGTGTTAGCTAATGATTTGGGGCATCAGCTAATCTGTATATTTATTTTATGAGAAGTTAACTTGCTGTATATTTTGTACCTTTGTAAATGGCACTTGATAGTTTTCTTTAAAACACTATTTCTATAGTATTTTAATTCTAACCAACTTATTAGGAAGCAGGAGTGAGACACTGCAAAAAATTACTTTAGATAACTAAAATTTCTGTTTCTAAATTATGTAGATTTTTAAGTGCTGCCGTGCAATTCTAGTGTAATTATTATATATGATTGTGTGTAAAAGCAAAGATTATAAGTGTTTTCATACAAGACCTTGCAAAAGAGTTGGAAATATCTGTTTATGAGAAATGTTTTTTTATTAAAAATGGGGTGTAGTAAATGCAACCCTGCCTATTTCTGTGTATTATCTGTGTGAACATTGTGATATTTAAAATTAAAGACACTATGCTAGCACTTTAACTAAGTAGCAAGCTCTTGTAGAAGGCAAGTGAGTGTAATTGGTATCCTTGTCTAATTCTCCTCACCTATTGACTTGATTCCGCATGTTACTTATTTACTCCTTCAAAGCCTAACCGCTAAAAAAAGCCCTTCTTCCTTCTGCACTTAATATGACTTTGTAAACCAGAATAACAGAATGTATGCAGAGGTACATGAAAATTACATTAGCCTTCTGATGGGCTTAGGCTGCTGTTTTCTTTAAATACAGATGGTAAGTTGCAATTGTAAAATGTTTGTATGATTCAGAATGTTATTTCCTAAAATGATGTCACAGATTTCATATCAAAAAAGAACTATATAATAAAATAATAAAAAGTCAGCTTTTTCCCATTTAAAACTTCATCTTTTTTCATATTTCTCAGCTTTTTAAAAAGCTGTTTAGATAAATAGTGAACAGCATGGAATACTATGCGGTTCTTCCAAAATATGGGAAAGGGTAAAGGGTGAGCATCAATAGCGTTCCATTGTTATCAACTACATTTAACATATTTATAGTAGAAAATGATGTATCTCTGTTATTAAGCCCATACAGAACGGTTGCTTTCTCTAAAACAGGTATCTCTGCAGAATTTTGGCTACATTAAAAAAAATGCTTAATTCTTTTTTTATGGGCACAAGCTTCCTTTACAGGTGAGCTGCAGAACTTTCCTTTTCTTGTTTGTTGGCCTACAGAAGCTAGCTGACCCTGTATATTCTTTGTACACTAGGAACATCTGTTAACATATGTTAAAAATATTTTTGCCATTCATGTCATTTAGAGAGGGATTCATATGGCTTTTGAAAATGGATCTTAATGATTACTGCCCATGGAAACTTGTCTGGAATTTTTTTGTTCTACAAGAAGTTAGCTTGTTGTTCAGATGTGTTCTGCAAGATACCTTTCTTATGTTAAAAATGGAAATATCTCTTTTGAAAATAAAAATTGGTCAGGCTAGGCTTGAACTCTTTTGAGAGTTATTTTCTTTTACAAAGTCCAAGAATTTTTACAAAGATATTTTGCATGGAAAACAATATCCCTGTGGTAAATTCATTAAAAAAAAAAAAAAAAAAAGGAAAATAATCAGTACTAGTTCCTGTGTCTAAAAGGAGCCCTATAAAAGCTTTGAGGGAGCTCAAGTCTGGGTCCAAACTTTGAGAATGAGGCCATTCCCTAGAGAAAAATGTATCGGTTTAGGTCATGAACTCCTGGATATGTGCATCCTTAAGTAGCTTACTGAAATCATCTGGCTATACCACAGACAAATCTTAGTCTTATTGTAATTTAGGCATGTCATTAATTAGTTCTTTTCACCATTTCTCTAGCTGTTACAGGACTTGAGCAAGCTTGTAATTAAGTAATTAAACCTGTTATTTTCTTACATGATTTATAGCAGTATCTTTCTCTGGATAAGTGCTAGTTCTAAGTACTCTTACTGTAAGAGTTACCAAATGTACTGTTAGGCTTATAGTAAAATATAAGATGCTTGGCAAATACACTTCATCCATGAAAGGAGTTAAAGAAAGCATGAATATATACAGACTCTCCAGTGCTTCGATGTGAATCTGCCTCAGGCAGCCTTGGCTGGCCAGTATGCTCTGGATTTTATGGATTTGACAGTTCTGACAGACATCCCAAAGCTCTGCCACAGCTGATACTGTCAATAGCTTACAGCATTGTTGGACAACAGGGACTGAATGGGCACTGGCACTGAACTGTAATATTCAATGTAGTGTAGGTTCCTGGAGTTCTTCTGCAGTGCATTTGTTATGTGGACAAATTATCCCAGCTGATCCCTTAACAGCAACTTGCACATGAGGATTTAGCCAAGAAAGGAATACAGAAACTTAGTCTCTTTGTCTGCAACAAATATAGAAAAATTTACACCTGATTCAGGTCATGTACTTTGATACATCTTCTCTGTGGAATGGGGAAAATGTTTTGGCTCTTAACAAGGGTAGACTTTCCATCATCATGGTAGAGTTAATGAGGATAAAAGCCTGCCTCTTGTTGCTGATGACCTCAGGTTTATCATCATGCGCTGGAGATTCAGGTCTGTGATGCAAATTATTTCACCTGTTTTTCATAAAGAACACAGCTAACAAACAGAACTAACCCCGAATTTGTGTTTATGGACTTTTTTCTGTCAATTCACAAAGAAATTTAACCTGCTTTCTTATGAGAGCTATTTCATAAAATCATTCTAATCTGACTATAGAACTTTCATATTTGTGTCTTATCTTTCCCTACTCTATTTGTTCATTATATACATTGGAACAAATTTTTAATAGCAACTTTGAAATATTGGTAAATGAGGAGCTTTTTCCCACCTATCCAAAAAGCCCACTTATGCATACATTGAATGAAAAGTTCAGAACTTCCCTGCAGCTCTGGGACCTCAGACCACACACTCATTTTCAGTGGAACCCAAAGTTCAAGTCCATATTTTCACAGGGTGTGATTGTTCCCCCACCTGCAGAGATAAAACTGCTGCTGTTAAGCTGTATTAACTCTCTCTTATAAATAGATGGAAAAATACATGCGTTTTGTTTCTTTTTAAGAAAATAGAAATGCAAATGGAACAAGGTCAAACACCAGACGTTCTACCAGTGTAGTTTGTTATTTCACTGTGCTTATGAAAATTAGAACTGAAGGCCTCCAACGAATATACTGAAGCAGCAGTTATGCATTAAAAAATGAGGTGCTTTCTTCATGCAAGTGTTTACAACCAAGGGGAGAATTAATAAAGGCTAATTTTATCCTGGTGACAATAAATTTCCTAAGCTTATTGCAACAAAATGTCTTCTGTAGAAGCAATTCAGAGGAGCTATGATAGGTTCCTGCTCTGAATCATCCTCCAGCAAAGACATGCTGCACCGATAAATGCAAAATGTTTGGCTTGACTTGGCTCCTTACCTCTTCTACACAAAAAGTTATATTTGGTGCAGAAATAGACACGGCCTATGGAAGCAACTAGAACTTCATGTAAGTAGTGGGGCAGGTGCTGTTCTACACACTTCTCTCACAACTTGAGGCCAGGGGTGAGTGTCACCTGTCTTAGGTGTTTGGTTTTTGCTGTCTGGCTCCCCCCCCCTCCAACCACAAGTGGGTGAAAGAAGGACCCCTCCACAAGGCACTGAATCAGATACTGCTTCAGACACTTTAATGCAATAAGATGTAGACTCACACTTTTTTTTTCCCAAACTTTCAGGAAAATATGTCTGGTTTTGCCAGCTGCCTCAATTTAATAAGCACTGCTTTTTCACCCCATGTACCTGCCTCACCTTGCTTTTTACTTTGCACGTCAGAGCTATCACAGTGCTACAACTATAAGCTCTGTTGACCACAAAATACTTAGACAGCAAAGCTTGTTGACAAAAAAAAAACATCACAGCTGGGGAATTGGGGTTGTTTAGTCTGAAGAGAAGGCTCAGGGGGTCTTTATTGCTCTCTACAACTACCTGAATGGAGGATGGAGAGAGGAGGTGGCTGATCTCCCAGATAACAAGCAATAAGACAAGAGGTAACAGCTTCAAACTGTGCCATGGGAGGTTTAGACTGGATACTAGGAAAAATTTCTTCAACAGGAGGGTGATGAGGCATTGGGAATCACCATCCCTGGCAGTGTTCAAAGACCTTGTAGATGAGGCCCTCATAGTCATAGTTTAATGGATTTAATCTTAAAGATCTTTTCCTAGATGGTTCTATGATCCTATGATCATACATAAGCCTCAAGGAGTGGGTATTTAAGTCCCATTAATAAGACTAGTTCTCACACTCTGATATTTCTGTAAGACATATGAAGAGCTAATAATGTGCTAGAACTGGCAGAATGGTTCAGAAAAGTGTTGACGTGGACCAGTGTTCATGGTCCCCCTCAGTATTTATCAGGGAATTTGATATTGAAAAGAGTTGAGAAAATGTGTCTTGATTTGCACAATGTCTGGCAGGATTAAAGCTTTCAATCTATTTACCACTCCAGCCAAGGCAATTACTAGCTATCTTGAACAAGACCTACAGGGACTAGCTCTAATAAAAGATGTACACACCTAGCAAAGGACTGGGAGTCAGGCATTGACATCCAAAACTGTAATCCCTGCCCAGCTGCCACCCAAACAGGAACATGTCTAAACTGAGAAGGCACCTCCCTTTCACATAACATTCCCTCAGTACCTACACTTTTACTTCAGTCATGCCCAGAACTACCCTTATTTGGGCAACTTGGCATCTTACTTGCATCTAAGCCCAGACAGAAACCCAGACTGGGCTAAGATGCAAGCAAAGAGAATGCCTTGGACCCCTTAAAGTACACCTACTGCACATCAGCAGAATAAGGTGCTTCCCAAAATGAGCTTTCCCAGGAGTAAGACAAATATGTTAACACACCTCAGAAAGGGAAAAATTTATTTTGGGTCTATCAGGTGTTGGATTACTTCTAGCCCTCAAGGCTATTGTGAAATGTTTTATGGTAGCAGTGCTTCCATGTAAAAGGAAATCACTCCTAGCTAGAGGTTGTGAGGAGGAAGGAATGTGAAGGGATCTCGCCATTTCTCCTGTTATAACTCCTTTGATACAGGGAACAAACAGGCCAAATAACAAATGCATACATAAAAGTGCAGCCCTATACATAGTGGTAGTGAGGGGCACCCACCTCAGCAGAAAAGTCCTGATCCAGTGACTTATAATTTAAAATACAGAAATCTTCCAGAGACTGGAGACAGGATGGCCACTATCTGCAAACAATGGAATGAGCAAAACAGTGGCCTGCATGTTAAACCTGTCCCAATGCTTGTTACCATGAAGCAGGTGATGACAGCAGCATTGCTGATAACAGCTCACTATCAGCAGTTCTGGCAGCTCAGGCTTTCATCCAGCAAAACATCCAAAAATGCACATAAAACAAGGCAGTTAAGCAGTTGAACAGAAGCCACTAAAAAAAATGCAACGATCTTCCTCTTCTAAGAGGTTCTTAAATGCTCTACATAAGGCAGGCTGCTTTGACAGTGTCTTGTGTCTTGACACCCTCGCTGCTGTTGAAACCATACATAAAGAATACAGTTTCCCAGGAATGATTCTGATCTCGCTTACATTGGAATATATCAGAAGTATTGCTAATACCATAATAGGAATAATTACACAAGCTTGGAAAAAAAGTGGGGAGGAGGAGTAATGAGTGGAAGGAGAGGGAGTGTTTGATACCACACAAAGACACTCAGTGAGCAGTCACGCACATTCAGTTCAGTTTCATGACTCATTTTCTGACAGTTTTTTGAAGAACTTTGTCCAATCAGGGTTTTTTTTTTCCTTTCTTTTTTTTTTTTCCTTGCACTGTTTCCTACCCTTACCAAAACCTTTCCTCT